GCTTTCAAATGGACACAAGGACTTCCACAAGGACATGACAGAGCCACCTAATACCAGGAACCCACCAGAGAGATGTCCCCGTCCTCTGTATTCCCAGGATTCCACACAGGAAGATCACACCATCCCTCACCATCATCAGGTCGGTGGAGTTGAGGAGTCTGGAACATAAAGTGATGGAACACTCTGACATGTGGAGACGATGTGTGGACTCTACAAGATGATATTTTCTATGTGATCTCACATCATAAATCCTTCTATATTACAGATGTTATTTCTGCCATTCTGTTGGTTTAGGGTGAAGATCTGATGAAGATGAAAGTTGAGGGTGAAGTAGAAGAGACGTATGTGAGGGATGATCAGCAATATACGGAGGAGGCTGGAATGACGAGGACATTCAAAGAGGAGGACACTCCTACAGAGATCTGCACAGGTGAGCCACAATATATTCTTCTGTTATCTCTGCTCTGTTACTGCACACTGATTGGTCCAGAGTAGGGCGGGAGATGAGTGATATCAGCCAATAAGAGGTTGCTAATAGTCACCTCCTGGTACTGATACCAAACCACATGCCCTCAACATGGGGGCTACTTTGTTCCTTGTTGCCATCGTTAATGAGGACAAGGGCCTCTTCACCGCAACCCTGGCCCAGTGGTTGTGGGGGTTTCTGGGCTATAAGGGGGCCCCCAATCTTGGCCCCTCCTATGTGAATAAACATGGGGTAAATTGTGCCCCTACTCATTCACAAAAAAAAATTTAAACAGTAAATAAAAACACAACACAGTTTTTGACAAGTACTATATTCAAAAATGAAAATAAAATTTCCCCTGATATATGTGCATAGTCAGTCACATTGTCCAGGGGTGTAGGTCCACATCAATCATGGCTGCCAACCTACATGGGGAAAAAAACCACCAACACCCAACCACTCCCGTTGCTTGCTCAGCGCCGAATGACATTCCTCAGTGGCCACCCTTCCTCATGATTGACGTTGACCTACATTGCTGGAAAATGTGACTGATGATGGACATACATCGTGGGAATAGATATCTGGGGACCCCTTATTTTAAAGGTAGGTTCCAGATTCTGATTAGCCCCTCACCAGCAGTCCCCCAACAACTACCAGGCCAAGGTTGTGGGAAGAGCCCTCTTGTCCTCATCAGTAGGGGGCGAAGGTGCTTTGCCAGCGTACCCCCTATGTTGAGGGCATGTGGTCTGGTCTGGTTCAGGAGTAGGGTCCTCCTTTCCTGGCCTGTCAAATCTTGAGGGTCTGGTATGAATTTGGGGGGACTCTTTGATTTTATCTTGTTTGTTTTTCTACCCAACCCCTGCCCCTTTGTTTACATTCACCTGTCAGTGGGCAATCGTCGGCTGACCACCAGGGGCGGACTGACCATTTGGAAACTCGGACACTGCCCGAGAGCCCAGGGTCAGTAGGGGGCCCCATGAGATGCCCCTGGTACCTTTTTCATAGGCTTTTTTGAGTTTGGGCAAGGACACAGGGGCCCCATGATCCCCTATTGCCCGGGGGCCCCATGAGTTGTCAGTCCGCCCCTGCTGACCACTGAATGAGCCAGGATAGATCACCAGTTGTTGGGACACTGGCATCCCCTGGCTCCCAAACAACCAGCTGTAGTGGGAAGCTCTCACAGTTAGCATTGTTAGTAATACCACTGCTAAATGTTTCACTTTACAGTCAGGCAGAGGATTGGCTCAGCTAAACACTCATTTCTTTAGGGTCTAAAAGGAAAGTGAGTGCTCTTTAAAATCAGCAGCTAAAGGTAACCAAATAAAAACCTTCAAAACAGTATAACAGATAAATAGGTGCAGCGCTAAAACAATTAAATCACTTTTATAATGTCCATAAAAATATGCAAAGTGTCAGCAAATGCAGATCTATATAAAGGTGACAAGCAGAATCCAACTGATCCCTTAAAGGGATCTCTGGGCAGCTGGATCCAGTATTCCTGAGTATTCCTGACAACACCACCATACCTAGAGGGAGATCGTTTCCAGTACCTTAAGGGGACCTCTACATATTTTTTATACAATGCGTATTTATGTTACGCATCTGGTGAGTGCGTAATTCTACTATACCTTTGGAGCACCAACAGTTAGATTCTGCTTGTCACCTTTACTTAGATCTGTATTTGCTGACACTTTGCATATTTTTATGGACATTATAAAAGTGATTTAATTGTTTTTAGCGCTTTACCTATTTATCTGTTATACTCATTTAGTTAGGCTGTTTGCCCAACCTCCGAACAAGCAACCTTTGGAAGCTCATCAGAGTTTATGTAGATTCTGGGCATCTGGCAGTACCAGGTCATGTTTTTCTCCTGGTTACAGTAGCACAGATGTGATAACACAGATTGTGCCTTGGTCCCTCTTCTTCGAGCAGACTTGTAGCTGAAGGGTAATATAAATCTCTATTTATGGTCTTGTTGGGATGAAAGTTAAGGAGGAACATAAAAAACTAAAACACATCTTTTCAGTAGAAAATACATCTCCAAGCACTCTCCAGTGCTGCGTGTCACCAGAAACCAAGGCCTATGGTCACTTGTTCTATGATAAAGGGCCTGCAAGTCTAAACTTTGAACCTTTTGATTATCAGAGATCACTTTAGCCAGCTCCAAGCTTGTGGTTTTGCTGGCCTCAAATCTATCTCTCGACCCCTCGCCTCACCCCTTCAGTCTCCACCCGAATCACTAGCCTGCTGAATGACATATCAGATTGGATGTCGCTCTACTTCCTTAAACTGAACCTCTCCAAAACCGAGCTCCTAGTTTTCCCCCCAGCCCGGACACCACCCCCCACTGACTTCTCCATCACATCCAACAATGCCACCATCAGGCCCACCCTGCAAGCCAGAGTACTTGGTGTCATTCTTGACTCCAACCTATCCTTCCAGCCCCAGGTCCAATCACTAACAAACTCGTGCAGACTCCACCTCCGCAACATCGCCAAAATCCGCACGTTCCTAACTCCAGAAACCACTAAACAGCTCATCCACTCCCTCATATCACGACTCGACTACTGCAACTCCCTCCTCACTGGCCTGCCTCGCCGCTGGCTATCCCCGCTTCAGTCCATCCTGAATACGGCTGCCAGACTCATTCACCTTTCCAACAGCTCCATCTCCACCACCCCCTCTGCCAATCCCTCCACTGGCTTCCGATTGCGCAACGGATCAAATTCAGAATCCTAACGCTGACGTACAAAGCTGTCCACCATACTGCCCCGAACTACATCACTGACCTAATATCCAAGTACCGCCCAACACGTACACTCCGCTCCTCACAAGACCTCCTTCTCTCTAGTTCCCTGGTCTCCTCCTCCCATGCCCGCCTCCAGGACTTCTCCAGGGTGTCACCCATCCTCTGGAACTCCCTGCCCCAACCCATCAGATTATCACCTACTCTCCTCTCCTTTAGGCGCACCCTGAAAACCCTCCTCTTCAGGGAAGCCTACCCCACCCCCTGCTAACTTACCGACCTCCTCCACTCTTCCTACCACCCCATCCCCCACAGCTATCTCCTCCTGTGCCACCAACCCCACCCTCCTAGATTGTAAGCTGGAAAGAGCAGGGCCCTCGATCCCCTCATGTTTTGCATTGTATTGGTATTGTTCTGTCACATGTTCTGTCCCCCTTTGTAATGTACAGCGCTGAGTGAACCATTGGCGCTTTATAAATACTGTATAATAAATAATGTGTCGTGCTCCAAATATTTTTGCTGAGGTGAACTAAAATATATTTAAAGTGCTATATGTGCTCAATTAATAATATAGTTAATATCCGTGTTTATATATGTGATCCAAAAAATATATATTAAATAAAATAAATCCAATATTGATAACAAATGGTGCAAATTATATAAATTAAATATATGAAAATTAAAATATTAAGTGTCTAGAAATTATTTTGTCCAATCCAAAATGGTGTTCACTCCGTGACAATGCTCAGAAAACCTTTGTTATATATGCGCTCACCTTAATATAAGCCTAACATAATTAGGCAAAAACAACTTTATGTCCTTATTGGATATGTAGGATATTTCCAACTGTGCTTGTATTCCAGAGATAATGGGTAGCAGGTTGTAATGATGTAATTCTCCTACCTACCGGGGTGTTCCTAGATATTCTGATCCCTGTATGTGGTCTGGATAGGTGCATCTCTCCCTCTGTCCTCCAGGGGTCTTTATATCTCCTTCTCCTCCTCTCCTTATTTCTCCATTAACTTGGTACCATAAATGAAAAGAGATAAAGTACCTTATCCTTTTAAACCGTTTTATTTGTGAATGAATATCAGTCCACTGGTAAACATATTAATTGCGCTTTTCATATATCAAAGAAAACCTCCTCTGTGTGTGCTCTGCACACTATACTCGCCGTCTGGTATCCTGAGTGTGTGGTGACATCAGAGCCCCTCCCCTACGCGTTGCGCCACCAGGTCACGTGGCTTCGTCGGGGATTCCTGTCAGGGACATTTTCCTGCTGGTTGGAAAATCCACAGAGAAAATCTGCTCATCCAGATGGAATTTTGATTTAAGTGAACTCACCCTCTTGTATCTATTGATCATGTTTTTATATTTTTCCAGGACACGCCATCGAAGAACCCTCAAAAAGGATCATCTCACTTTATCTCCGGGTTGTAAAATGGAAGATGATGAGGACATCACAAGAGATTGTGCAGGAGAAAAGACGATGAGCTCAGCTATGGATGGTGGACTTCACAGTATGGATGGACCATCAAATCCCTCTGACTCTGAGCAACCTCGTACTGTGAGGGATGAAGCCGGAATCCAGGAGGAGGAGAAATTTTCCTGTTCTGAATGTGAGGAAAGTTTTAGATCTGAATTAAGTCTTGCTGTACATCAGAGATCTCACATCAGTGAGAAGGTTCATTCCTGTTCTGAGTGTGGGAAATGTTTCCTTTTATAAATCAGAACTTGTCATACATTGCAGATCTCACACGGGCAAGAAGCAAAATTTTTGTCCTGAATGTGGGAAATGTTTTATAGATAAATCACAACTTGTTAGACATCAGAGATCTCACACGGGAGAGAAACCGTATTCCTGTTCTGAGTGTGGGAAATGCTTTTCACAGAAATCAGACCTTTTTAGGCATCAAAGATTGCACACGGGAGAGAAGCCAAATTCTTGCCCGGAATGTGGGAAATGTTTTATAGAGAAATCACAACTTGTTAAACATCAGAGATCTCACACGGGGGAGAAGCCATTTTCTTGCCCTGAGTGTGGGAAACGTTTTTTTTGCACAAATCAGGCCTTGTAATACATCAGAGATCTCACACAGCAGAGAGGCCGTATTCCTGCCCGGAGTGTGGGAAATGTTTTTCACAGACGTCAGACCTTGTTAAACATCAACGATCTCATACGGGGGAGAAGCCATATTCCTGCCTTGAATGTGGGAAGTGTTTTATCGATAAATCACAACTTATTAAACATCAGAGATGTCACACGGGGGAGAAGCCGTACTCTTGCCTTGAGTGCGGGAAATCTTTTTCACAGAAATCAATTCTGGTTAGACATCAGAAATCTCACACTGGAGAAAAGCCATATTCCTGCCCTGAGTGTGGGAAATGTTTTTTACACAAATCAGACCTTGTTATCCATCAAAGAACTCACACGGGGGAGAAGCTGTATTCTTGCCCTGAGTGCAGGAAATCTTTTTCACGGTTTTCCTCTCTTTACTCACATCAGAAGATTCATACAGGTGAGAAGCCATATTCTTGCCCTGAGTGCGGGAAATGTTTCTCATGGAAATCAAAACTTGTAAGGCATCAGAGATCTCACACTGGGGAGAAGCCGTATTGCTGCCCCGAGTGTGGAAAATGTTATACATGGAAATCAGACCTTGTTTTACATCATAGATCTCACACCGGATTGTAGGGATGAATAGAACATACCTGGTTTCAGTTCCCAATGTTAATTCTAATTTCATGAGGTCAATGGAGCAGAATTCTTAAAATCAATTCAGTCCATTTTAAGGCTAATAGGCAAGAGCTGTAAAAGGGGAGCTAGGCACTGCGTTGGCGGATATGGAAATGTATACCAAGAAACTACAGAGTAGTCAGCCTAACATCAATAGTATGTAAGGTATTTGAGGGAATGGTAAGGAATGATATACAGAAATTCATCTGTGATAAAGGTATGAAAACTAACATGGATTTATGAAAGACCACTCTTGTCAGACTGACCTGTTACCATTTTATGAGGAAGGATGGTGGAAGTCCAGTGGATGCAATTTATCAAGATTTAATTTATTAAGATATAATAAATGTTTAATTTATAAAATAATGTCTGTTGGAGTTGATGAAATTGTATGTACATGGATAAGAAAACTGACATGACCGAGTTCAGAGAGTAGTAATAAATGACTCATTCTCTGAATGGTGGACCCCAGGGTTCTGTCTTGAAGCCAATGCTGTTCAATTTGTTTTTTTAATGATATAGAGGTTGGCATCAGGAACTGGACATTTTCTGGCCAACTTATCTGTGTGTAAATAAAGAAACAATTTCCTTCATCCATACCAGGCCCTGATCCTAGATGAGGGTCAGGCATGAATTTTAACCACTTCCCGACCGGCCGTTGCATATAAACGGCCAGACGGTGGCAGTGCAGGGTCGGGTGGCCGTTTATAAATGGCCTCCCCGCACCCTGCTTGTTTGCGCTCCCTGCGAGAGCGCAGCACCGCGATCCGGTGCCCGCTGTGTCCTCCGGACACAGTGAAACACCGATCGCTGGACGGGACCTCTGTACGAGGTCCCGATCATGTGATCACTGATTGGCCAATCAGTGATCACATGCAAAGTAGTAAGCAAGATGTCACTTGTGACATCATTGCTTACTACGTGTGAAATCTGTGAATGATCACAGAGGTCACATGGTACAAGGCTATTCACAACAGCCTTGTACCATGTGACAAGCTGTGACCAATCACAGCTCACTCAGTACTTCTCAATGAGTGCAGGAATGCAGACAGAGAGAAAGAGAAATGATTGCTTTTACATCCTATATGGGTGTAAAAGCAATAAGTGTAAAAAAAAAAAAAAAAATTCTTCATTACCCCCCACAAGTAGTACAGTGTCACCATGGTGACACTGTACTGCTAGGGTGACAGTATGTAAAAAAAAAAATAAAATAAAAAACAATAATATAAAAAAATAAAATAAAAATGTAAAAAAAAATGTTTAAAAATTATAATTTTTGGTTATAAACTAATTTTTTTTTTTTTTTTTACCTAAAAAGATAACGGAATAAATTTTGGCAAAGATTTATGATGAAATATTATTTATTTGCAAAATTTTATAAAAAAAAACACTTTTGTTCAAAATTTTTGGACTTTTTTCATTTACATAGCAAAAAAAATAAAAATCCCAGCGGTGAATAAATACCACCAAAATAAAGCTTTATCTGTCTCAAAAAAATGGTAAAAAATTAATTTGGGTACAGTGTTGCATGACTGCGCAATTGTCATTCAAAGTGTGATAGCGCTGAAAGCTGAAAATTGCCCTGGTCAGGAAGGGGGTAAAAGCGTCCGGTCTGGAAGTGGTTAAGGGAGACCCCCACAAAAATACATACAAAAATGTTACTTGTGTCCCAGCAACCAATGGATGCTGTGAAGGCTTGCCACCCGCATCCAAGCAAATGACATCAGTTGCTAGGAAGCCAGCAGCCACAGGTCATTGTTGGTTTTGTTGTACCAAAACAAGCTAAAAGAATGGACTCCCAAGTCCATACCAGGCCCTTATCCTTCATAAGGATCTGGTGTGGATTTTAGGAGAAGCCCCATTAAAAAAAAGTGCAGTATCCCCAAAATGTCATACCAGTTCCTACAAGTGGGATATGGAATATTGAACCTCCACATAAAAAAAAGGTGGGGTTCATCCCAAAATCATCACCTGAACCTTATCCAACCATGCAGCCTGGCAGGACAAGAAAGGAGGCAGTGAGCATGCATCTCTCCAATCATGAACCGTACCAGGCCACAGGAACCTCCCTGATGAAGTACCTTATCCACTGTTGAGGAGGACAAGGGCCTCTTCTTCACAACCCCAACCTTGTGGTTGGGGGGTCTGAAGGGTAGTCAAAATCTGAAAACCCCTTTGACAATAAGTAGACCCCCAGATACATACTGTACTCCTCCCTATGTAAAAAAAAAAAAAAAAAAAGGCCTTTATTTAGTCTAGGTTCACACCTATGCAAGTTGCGTTTGAGCCATTTCTGCATTTATTTTCCTTTTTCTTGTTGCTAGGCATATTTAAAATGCAAAACACAGCAAAAACGCAATACACGCTTTTCTGCAGCGTTTCCATTAAAGTCTATAGAAACAAAATCGCAACTTTTTTGCGTTAAAAAAGTCACTGACCCTTTCCAAAAAATGTGAAACTGCACAGGTGTGAACATGTCCCATAGGAAATCAGGTTACATGGACTGTACTGCGTTTATGCAAAACGCTGCAGAAAATTCTTAGGTGTGAACCTGGGGTTAAGAAAAAAAAAAAAAAAAATGATCAACATTGTTAATCCATTGTCAATCACATCATCAGACTGGACTGCAAGAGAGGTATCAGTGGCATCTAAATGGGGGGGCTGGAACATATGGTTGAGGAGCCGACTTGGCTGAGTGAGTCAGACTCTCCAAAGAATGGATGGAACTCCTTAGACTTGAGCAGATATTATTACTGTAGAGCAGTGGTTCTCAACCTTTCTAACGCCGCGCGACCCCTTAATACAGTTCCTCATGTTGTGGTGACCCCCAACCATAAAATTATTTTCGTTGCTACTTCATAACTGTAATTTTGCAGTGGGAGGACTAGCGCCCATCACTGATGTCAGTGGGAGGAATAGTGTCCCATCGTTGGTATCAGTGGGAGGAATAGTGCCCCATCATTGGTGTCAGTGGGAGGAATAGTGCCCAATCATTGGCGTCAGTGGGAGGAATAGTGCCCAATCATTGGCGTCAGTGGGAGGAATAGTGCCCAATCATTGGCGTCAGTGGGAGGAATAGTGCCCAATCATTGGCGTCAGTGGGAGGAATAGTGCCCAATCATTGGCGTCAGTGGGAGGACTAGCGCCCCATCACTGATGTCAGTGGGAGGAATAGTGTCCCATCGTTGGTATCAGTGGGAGGAATAGTGCCCAATCATTGGCGTCAGTGGGAGGAATAGTGCCCAATCATTGGCGTCAGTGGGAGGAATAGTGCCCAATCATTGGCGTCAGTGGGAGGAATAGTGCCCAATCATTGGCGTCAGTGGGAGGAATAGTGCCCAATCATTGGCGTCAGTGGGAGGAATAGTGCCCCATCATTGGCGTCAGTGGGAGGAATAGTGCCCCATCATTGGCGTCAGTGGGAGGAATAGTGCCCAATCATTGGCGTCAGTGGGAGGAATAGTGCCCCATCATTGGTATCAGTGGGAGGAATAGTGCCCAATCATTGGTATCAGTGGGAGGAATAGTGCCCCATCATTGGTGTCAGTGGGAGGAATAGTGCCCCATCATTGGTGTCAGTGGGAGGAATAGTGTCCCATCATTGGTGTCAGTGGGAGGAATAGTGCCCAATCATTGGCATCAGTGGGAGGAATAGTGTCCCATCATTGGTGTCAGTGGGAGGAATAGTGCCCAATCATTGGCGTCAGTGGGAGGAATAGTGTCCCATCATTGGCGTCAGTGGGAGGAATAGTGTCCCATCATGGGCCCCATCATTGTCAGTGGGAGGATAGTGCCCCATCATTGGTGTCAGTGGGAGGAATAGTGCCCCATCATTGGTGTCAGTGGGAAGGAATAGTGCCCCATCATTGGTATGAGTGGGAGGAATAGTGCCCCATCATTGGTATGAGTGGGAGGAATAGTGCCCCATCATTGGTATCAGTGGGGGGAATAGTGCCCCATCATTGGTATCAGTGGGAGGAATAGTGCCCCATCATTGTATCATTGTGTGGGAGGAATAGTACCCCATCATTGGTATGAGTGGGAGGAATAGTGCCCCATCATTGGTGTCAGTGGGAGGAATAGTGCCCCATCATTGGTGTCAGTGGGAGGAATAGTGCCCCATCATTGGTGTCAGTGGGAGGAATAGTGCCCCATCATTAGTATCAGTGGGAGGAATAGTGCCCCATCATTGGTGTCAGTGGAAGGAATAGTGCCCCATCATTGGTATGAGTGGGAGGAATAGTGCCCCATCATTGGTATGAGTGGGAGGAATAGTGCCCCATCATTGGTATGAGTGGGAGGAATAGTGCCCCATCATTGGTGTCAGTGGGAGGAATAGTGCCCCATCATTGGTGTCAGTGGGAGGAATAGTGCCCCATCATTGGCGTTGGGGGGAGGAATAGTGCCCCATCGTTGGTGTCAGTGGGGGGAGGAATAGTGCCCCATCGTTGGTGTCAGTGGGGGGAGGATAGTGCCCCATCGTTGGTTCAGTGGGGGGAGGAATAGTGCCCATCATTGGTGTCAGTGGGGGGAGGAATAGTGCCCCATCGTTGGTGTCAGTGGGGGAGGAATAGTGCCCCATCGTTGGTGTCAGTGGGGGAGGAATAGTGCCCCATCGTTTGGTGTCAGTGGGGGGAGGAATAGTGCCCCATCGTTGGTGTCAGTGGGGGGAGGAATAGTGCCCCATCGTTGGTGTCAGTGGGGGGAGGAATAGTGCCCCATCGTTGGTGTCAGTGGGGGGAGGAATAGTGCCCCATCGTTGGTGTCAGTGGGGGGAGGGGAATAGTGCCCCATCGTTGGTGTCAGTGGGGGGAGGAATAGTGCCCCATCGTTGGTGTCAGTGGGGGGGGGAGGAATAGTGCCCCATCGTTGGTGTCAGTGGGGGGAGGAA